GTTTTCATGCAAATATATGTTATAAGTGTTGGGTTATTGGGCTCCCTTCCTATGTGAAGAATAGGCGATATAATGTGGACCATTATGTCTCACTTTGTTTTAGTGAAGATGGTATGATTAGTAGGCCACATTAGAGTCATTTGAAGAGAGGGAAAAACCAAGTGAGAGAGAAAGGAAGAGAAGAAGTCATTTCTGCATAACATAAAACCTGCACTGATGTTTTTGTTTTTGTGAAGTCGTTCACCGTTGGGTCGAGCTGAGCTTTGGTCAGTGGGTTCCAGACGTATGGTTCTTCATTCTAACTGTTCGGATTGTCAATCAAAGATATAGTTTGGGAGAAAACAGTCATGATCAGCAACTCTGTTTTGGAGAATTTCATAAAATCTGCACTGGTGTTTTCATCTTTGTGAAATCGTTCACCGTTGGATCGAGCTGATTTTTGGGTAGTGGGTTCCAAAATTTATTGTTCTTCATTCTGACCGTTCAGATCGTCAATTAAAGATCTAGTTTGGGAGAAAACAGCCCCGCATCAATAACTCTATTTTTGAGAATTTTCATCTTCTTGGTTCTCATTTGTAAGCAATATGCTTAGTTAGTTTGACTGATTGAAAATCCTATTTGGTGTTTTTATCAGAGAATCTTTTGCACCCTATTATTGGGGTATAACATGTCAATGATTGGATTTGGATTATTCAAGTGATGTATTATATGTATTTGAGAATGTTTACATGGGTATGTGATGCTTGAATGCATGTATGATGTGTTAACTATGTTTCCACGTGATCTAGGGTTGATGTATGTAAGTTTGAATGCTTGAATTATGTCCACTGTGTTTCGATTCGACAATAATAAATTATCATTATTTATAATTGATTATCTGCGTGTTGGTTTTGAGTGTGGTTTCGGGAATAATCGATTATCTGGGATGATAATCGATTATCCCTTCCTACGTGATGTTTTTGGGTAAATTTCACTGAGATAACCGATTATCATAAGTGATAATCGATTATCATAGTGCATTTTGGTGACAAATACTAAATTTGATGAAAAATAGACGTGAACCAAGCATGAGGAGCTGTGGAACATGATGATAATCAGATATTGAGGTTAGTGGTTATGTTTAAGGTCAGTTTGATTTGTGGTTGAGAGTGAAACATGAGTGAGTGTTGAAATGTACTTAAGTATGTGATTGATGAGCATGAGAGTGGAGGATAAGTCTACTTGTTGTACTTCGTAAATCCTAGTTTTATCCATACATGTTTGTGTTTGTGTGTTGTTGTGAATGAAATCTAGGATGAATCGTATTAAGGTGTTATAAGACATGAGCAAATAATGTTACAGATGTTCTAGAGACGCGATTGACTCGAGAGAGAATGAGGAATAACCTTGGGATTCATTTAAAGCTATTATTTTTTACAAGTTAAGATAATTTAATTGGAGTATTTCTTTTGTTAGTTTATTAGTCAAAATAATGTAATTGGAAAAGTTTTCTTTAAGTACACTTTTACGCTATGATAAATTTTGAATTTTATTAATTTTTAATAACCGTGACGTTTCAGAAATCAGAGTGTTACACTATAGAGTAAATAAGGTTTCTACTATTTAGAAATATGATTGATTTAAGATGTTTCTTATTGATAACGCCTATTTTTAGTATTTGTTTGAATTAATAAAATCAACTTCTTCTTAAAATATATATATATATAGATATATATATATATATATAGTATATTATATATATGTGTGTACTTTTTAGTTTTATTATTGTTTCTGAGGTTATTAAATGCTTAGAGTGTTACAACTTATGACCACTCAATTAATTTTATGATAATACAGTATCGATTTGTTCTTTACTTTGTTTTTCATTTTTATTATTTTAGTAAATGTTATTAGTTAATTATAACCCGCTCAAATATGATCTAAGTAGTTTTAGTTTGATTGGAGACTTAATAAAAATTCTAAATTAACACAATTAAATATGAGCAAATCATAATTATAATATAAGATTGGGAACTCTTCGATAGAAACCTTTGACTAGACTTACATTTTGTCTATACTTTTTCTCTATTTCATCATATATTATTGTGAATTATATCAATCTATTTTCTTCTCTAGGCTTCATCTTTCACATGGTACTACAAAATATATATATTGTTAGTCAAATAAATTGTCGAAATTATAATTAAATGTGAGTGGACAACTCTTTTGATACGAAACAAAGAAGAAAGGAATGTACTCGAGGGAAGGGAAAAAAAATTCAATAATAATTATTAATTAAAAATAATGACTGAAATCTTGAAAAGGTTTGTTGAGTATGTTTTTATCTTATTAATATTTTTAATCAATAACATTCTTATTCCATAATAATTTAGAGTTTTTTTTAATTATTTTATTAAATAAATTCAACCTCACGAACATGGTGTTCTGATTCTTCTTCTCATGGAAGGAATTATCTATTCTGTAAACGGTTTCTCTTACCGTAATTTTCTTCCGATTAACCCCCACCGACAAACAACTCCATCACTCTTCATCCTGGCCAAATTACCATCTGTCCTTCTTCAATTCTTCAACACCGTCGGTTTCTCACCGCCCCCACCCCCAAAACCCTTTTCTTTTTTTGGGGAATATTTTAAAGGTGTCAATACCCATTTCGACGTATTTATTACACCTTAATAATCTCAATACATTTATAACATGTTTTATAAAAAAAAATTAGCAATTATAACAAGAAAAAACATTGTGAAATTAAAATTTGCAAAATTTATTCTTTTAGGAAAAACACTATAAATGTTCAAAAAAGTAGATTCTTAGAAATGGAGATGCATCAAATTGTGAAAACTAAAAATTGATAGTAGTAAATTTTAATTTTTTAAAATTTTGCGATTATAGAAAAAAATCAAGCTTATATAATGTGATTTAAACTATAATTAGAAAAAAAACTTGGAATGATAACCCAAAATTCGTATTAAAGTGTTTTCGTTGTCTTATACTATCATTCTGGAATTTTTTTTATACATTGAACTAATAAAAAAAAACTACCTTTTAAAAACAAAACATTTAACAAATATTTGTTAGAAAAAGAAATAATTATACCATGCATAAAAACAAAATTTTATTGGACTGGGGAAAATCATATACAAATAATTTTATTTTTATTCCATTCAAATTAAAATTTGAAAGATAGACCCATAAATTTTTCATTCTTTATATTTTCCGGCAGTTCAATAAGTTTCCCACCAAACCACCCCCAAAAAAACTTATTTAATTTAGATAAATTAAATTATTATTTTTAAAATTGACATAAATTCTATTTAATTTTTTTTTTTCAATTTTGAAAAAACAATTGTGTAATTAAATTATCATAAATTTAATTGTAATTTAATTTTTTTCCCCCATAAAGTAAATTCTTTCAATATTATTGGAAATTTTAAATAAAGTTTTAGTTTTTATTATTTTTAAATTTTTGGGAAAAAACGTAATTTTAAAGTGAAAACCAAAATTGTTTAATATCACTCTATAAATGATATATACATTTTACAATTTAAAAACCAAGAATATATTTTTATATTAATTAAAAAATATTAATTGGTTTTAATTTTATTTTTTAAATTTTTTTTTTTTTTAAAGATATTATTTAATTCTGGAAAAATAAGTGTTAAATCTCTCTTTTAAGACTTAAACAAAATTATCATGTTTTTTCTTTAAAAGGTTTTTTTTTTTTTTTTTTTTTTGTAAAGTTTTAAATTAAGATTTAAATATTTTTTATTTCAAAAAGTATAACAATTACTTTATATTTTATTCATGAAAATTAATAAAAAAACCAAAAAAATTGTTTTCATATATTTTAATTGTTTAAATCTATTGTTTTGTTTTTTTTTTGTAAAACGTGAGAATTGATTTATCTATAATATATATATATAATATATATCTATTATATATATATATATATTATAAAAGTAATCAATTTTAAAAATCTTGAAGATTTAATTTAAGGATAATTTTATAAATTTTAATTTTTTAAACATTTTCATCAAGTTATTCGTTTCATTTTTCACGAAATTTAAAGTTTATATCTATTTCAAAAATAATTTTTGATTTTTAACCTTTTACCTTATATAAAAGAAAAAAAATGTCAATTAACATCACTTGAAATAGAAACACTAATACACGTGCACAAAGAATGGAAAAAAGCTTATGAGTATTAACTTATATGTTAAATTGAACTACTAAAATAATGTTGTTCAAAGAAGAGAAAAACATAAGAAAATTAAATTGATTAATTGATAGAAGTTAAAGACAAAAAAAAAAAAAATGAATATAAGATTATAAATATTAATTATTAATAAAAAGAATTTTAAAAATAAATTAATCAGTCTCTATTTTTTTTTTTTTTTTTTTTTTCAAAACAAAATTATTATTTATTGGTACAAATTGTTCACTCACTAAAATATAGTTAATACTACTAAAAAATTAACGGTTTTTAACTGGGAATAGTTTAATATTTAAAAATATTCTTTTTAATTTTCCTTTTTTAAAAAGAAAATATTAAAGCTAAAGACTTTTTAGCTGTTTGAGGGGCCTTAACAAATCCAGGCATTTGTATTCTATTTTATGAGTTTACCAATCAAACCATTTTATATATACTACATTCCCGAATTTGTGAAAGTACTGGCATATTAATGGAGTTATTTTGTCAAATTAAATTTCATTTTCAAGAGAAAAAAAAGTTTCGTCATCTTTCTGAACGCAATCCATTAATTTGGTAAAGTACCTTTGTATTGGGCAGTTTAAAAAACCTATTTTCATATATTAGTCAACTGATGCAACGTCCCTTTTCTATTTCTAGTTTATTATTTTCCACCCTTTTTTTTTTTTTCAACTATTCTTTGCTTTTTAATTTTTTTTATTTTTGGCTCATTTTTGCTGCCGTATTTGCATTTAGAGGAAATCACAAACTTGCTTTTATAGTTTGCCAAGATCAGTCAGATCAAGTGAGGCAACACAAAACGAAGGAGGAAGAAGGAAAACAGCAAGTTCAACATTGCTCTGTTCTTCATGCACATTCTCTACTCACATCCATGGCTTCCAAACTCTTACTCATTACTGTCTTCGTTTTTGACTTGATTGCTTTTGGATTGGCCGTGGCTGCTGAGCAGAGAAGAAGCACAGTGAGTTTGTACATTTCAATTCACTCTTGTTTTCTCTAAATCCCAAGTTAAAATATGGGCGTGTGTTTAGAGATGTTTTTTATTTGTGGGTTTGAGAAGAATAGAGTGATCAATTAATGAATGAACTTGAAAGATAATTATTTCTTTGTCTTTCTTGATTGTGTATGAAGCGAGAAAATGTGGGCAAATCATGAATCTTGTATATTTCTTTGTGCGAACTAAAGTTTGGAATTTGATATTGGGTTTATCACATGCTGGCATAAAGGCTTCCAAAAGAAAGCGTACTCCTATTTTTATGTTCCTAGTTTTTCTTTTCTGATTTGGGCTTACCCAGATCTGTATACTGTTAAAAGTGTGATCTTTTTTTAAGATAGTTGTAAATGTGATATGAACATATTTTGCAAAAAACTGTCTGTAGTTCTTGCTGTTGGCTTCCATGACATGCCAAATCTTGAACTGTTTCTCCCCTTGGGTGAAGTTCTTCATGGATGTGATAGGTTTTGTGATTTCTCTGGTTGTGTTTGTGAATGGAGATCCAGATCTGTATATACATTATACTGTCGTGTTTGTAAGGCAAGAGAAAATGTTCTGTGATGTGAAGCCCCAGATCTCTCCTTTTTTCTTTCTTATAACCTTAACATGTATCATTTAAGGCAAAGAGTTCGTGGAATTGTGTCGTTAGAAATTCCACTAGGAAAAATTGTGAATCTGTTTTTCGTTGAAGGTGCCATATGGTTCTTGCAATTAGCTTTGAAATATACTTGCATATTCATATGATCTGTTATGAATTAATGACTACTTAGCTAACACAGGTGTTTGCCTAACACAGAACTAAGCATTCAAGGGTTTTCTTTTTTCAACCCTGGTTGGTGTAATTCGTGGTTCAAGCGAAGAATATTTAGTTATACAAAACCAAAGACTCGTTTACTTTTTCAAAATTTTCACCAACTGATTGTGAAAATGTAATGACAATCCCTTTAGTGGTGAGGAGATACATGGTCATAATTCTTCATGTGGAAAGAAATAAAGTTATCGTTTTGGTACATTTATGGATTTGAAGCTTGAACGTATGATCTCTTGTTCATTATCCGAACCAGTCACTACTACTATCCTAATTCACTCCTAATGACTTATAAGTGATGTTTTTATGCTTACGATGCAATCTTTTGATTTTTTACCTTTCTATCTCCTGCTTAACAAAACATTTATCTTTGTTTTAATTGGCAGGCTAAGATTGTGCAGGACAACGATGTGAACTATGACCACTGTGTCTATAAGTCTGATATAGCTACTGGCTATGGGGTCGGAGCATTTTTGTTCCTCTTGGTTAGTCAAGTCCTGATAATGGTGGCAAGCCGATGCTTCTGTTGTGGGAAGCCTCTAAGCCCAGGAGGCTCAAGGGCTTGTGCAATTGTCCTTTTCATAATCTGCTGGTATATCATCTTTCCTCAAAGAACTAACAATGGTGAATTATAGATATCAAATAATAACAAAATGTAGCGTGTTAAGACGTTTTTATATCCTGCAAATTTGATTAACTTCATTTAATTTCCATAGATGATATACACCATATAAACTGAATTCATATTACCTTCTATTTTGGTATTTAGCTCTTCTATTGATTACATTTGTTTGGCAACTGTCTGCTTCAGGGTGTTTTTCATAATAGCTGAGATCTGCTTGTTAGCTGGATCAGTGGAAAATGCGTACCACACCAAGTATAGGCACAACATTTTTGCGAACAAAGAGCTATCTTGCGAAACAGTTAGGAAGGGAGTGTTTGCTGCTGGTGCTGCTTTTGTTTTCTTCACTGCCATTGTTTCTCAATTCTACTATGTCAACTATTCAAGTGCCAGGGAAAGCTTCCAACCTTATGGTGGCGGTGAGACTGGTGTAGGTATGGGAACCTACAAATGAGCTTGTTAGTTAAGAATTTTAGAGCCTAAATTTAGGTGTGACTATACCTGGAGTCTGGATTCTGCAGCACATTTCTTGGATTTTGTTGCATTTGTTGTATTTACAGTTTAGCTACTTTACTAGAATGAATGTATAAGTTGTATCTTAGTAATTTTTTGTTGTCACATATTGTGGTATGTTATGGGTGATTCATTCATTGCCTCTTTACACTTTTGGAGTTTTTGTCATGTATACATATCAACAAGAGAAATAATTTCTTGATTTATATTGTTTCTGCATACTAATAAATTGTAGTCCTTTCATTCAAATGTTAGTAACTTCATTGTAGAATCAGTTTCCTTAATATTTTTTCTGCTTTATAATGGGATGAATTTCACTATTGGTGGTTCAGAGAACCTTGTACATTTACATTCACATGCAGTGCATCAGGGCCATAAGGCAGCTTCTGCAGCCTGCAAGTTTCTGTTTAGAGCAAGTGCTATCATTTCCCTGTTAGAAATTGTCATTTAAAATACTAGTCTTCAAAAGTATTTCAAATGGTTTTAGTTCCACATTGTTTGGTTTTAGCTACTTTCTAGAGTATATATATTTACTTTTTACCTACAAAGATGTTGCAATTGTATCAAGCATGGATATAGGTTATTTAATAAATACTGGGATCTGAGATCTATAATTCATCTTTTTATGTATACATTATCCTTTTCACTGTTCCTTTTGGAAATATCACACCTTTTAAATCTGATCACACTTCGTTATTTTTTATTATAATTTTCAAGTTTTTTTTTCTTTCTCATACTCCTTTTTTTCCCTCTAACTATTAATTTAAATCTTTTAAACAATATCTTAGATTTAAACAAAACTATATTGAAATAAATAAATTACATAATGAATATGTACCGAAAATATATATTAAAATTAATATACACATTAATATATGAACTTATAAAAATTACAACAAAAATTAAATTTAAATTCAACAAAATAAAATAATATAATGTAAACACGGATACATGTTATCATATATAAAAAATATACTAACTATATACTTGATTAAATTTTATGAATGATAAACAAAATTTACGATGATAAAATCAATATCTCATAATTAAAAAAATTAAAATAGGCTAATTGTAATATATATATATATATATATATATATTTACTTTTTACCTACAAAGATGTTGCAATTGTATCAAGCATGGATATAGGTTATCTAATAAATACTGGGATTTGAGATCTATAATTCATCTTTTTATGTATACATTATCCTTTTCACTATACCTTTTGGAAATATCACACCTTTTAAATCTGATCACACTTCGTTATTTTTTATTATAATTTTCAAGTTTTTTTTTTCTTTCTCATACTCCTTTTTTTCCCTCTAACTATTATTTTAAATCTTTTAAACAATATCTTAGATTTAAACAAAACTATATTGAAATAAATAAATTACATAATGAATATGTACCGAAAATATATATTAAAATTAATATACACATTAATATATGAACTTATAAAAATTACAACAAAAATTAAATTTAAATTCAACAAAATAAAATAATATAATGTAAACACGGATACATGTTATCATATATAAAAAATATACTAACTATATACTTGATTAAATTTTATGAATGATAAACAAAATTTACGATGATAAAATCAATATCTCATAATTAAAAAAATTAAAATAGGCTAATTGTAATATATATATATATATATATATATATTTACTTTTATCACTCAAAAATATTTTGCTCACTTTTTATTCATATAAAATTAAAATGTATTAAACTCGATTTGAGTTAGTAAGATTAAAGTAATGCTTGATGTTATTACTAGTCTAAGATGTGTTAATGATTTTTCAATGCATTAAAACTTAACATTTTTTATTATTTTAATTTGAATTTGAATATAATTACATAAGAATTATTAATTTTTGTTGATGTTCAATTATGCTGCTTTCAAGTCTACAATTCATTTTTTCTTTAAAATAAATGTTTCATGTTTACTACACATGTTCTGAAGTATGAAAATAGGCAAAATTATTATAAATCAATGATACTCAGTGTCTTTATAATGTTTGTTATGATTTTTTTAATGTTGTTGTTCATTGATGTTAAGGTTATATGGCTCATTATATAGGTAAGTTTAATGCTCTTTTTCATGAATTTAATGAGGTATTATCTCCTGCCTCTACTCATGCCCAAGAAATATAGCAATCGTCAAAATTCTCCATGGTGTTGGCATTACATGGACTTGTTGATGAATATTTCAATGTCTATGATCAGATTTTGGGTTTCCTTGTTGTACCTAATTTTTCTTCTACTTGTTTCACCCTTTTGCGCTTCCCAAGTAAACCCATCAATGATACACTAGCTTTTGCTTATGATTTTTTTGCTTTGAGATCTCAACATAGTGATCGAAATCGCTCTTGGAAGCCAAAAAAAAAGTCACAAGTGTGACCATTGCCACAAGATTGACATGTGTTATGCATTACATGGTCATGCTCCTCAATCTACTTTTTTTATCATTTTTCAGACAGGTCCTCCCTCATAATCATCTATTATGGATCCTCCTCAATCTGATACCATTGACAAAGCTACTATTTTTAATGAATTTATGAAATGGTATGAGGGTTGTCATCCCTCTAGTTCCATTGCTTTTATTGCATGCACATATACATCTTTTGTTGGTCTGACTCAATCTTCTTTTCTTGGTCCTTGGGTTCTCGACTCAAGAGTCACAAATCACATGACTGGTAACAAATCTATATTTTCTTCTTTATCCTCTCTGGATAATTTACCTTATATTACAATGATTGATTGGTCTAGGCTTTTAGCTCAAGGTGTGAGCACTATTAAAAAATTTTCCTTCTTTATCCATATATAATATTTTTTGTCCTTGAGTCTCTTTTTAACTCGTTATCCATTAGTTGTCTAATTCGTTCTATTGATTGCGTTATTTCTCTTACCAAAGATTTTGTATGTTTATAGGAATGAAGTTTGAGACAAGTGATTGGCAGCGGATATGAGTCTCGTGGTCTTTATCATCTTTGTCCTTCTACACATCTTAGCACATGTATGGAGTCTTCATCTCTCTTTCATGCTTAGTTAGGTCATCCTAGTCTAGCCAAATTGCAACAGTTTGTTCCTAGTTTGTCCAAGTCTAGTTTGGTGTGTGAGTTATGTAAATTAGAGAAACATAGTTGTAGTCCTCTCCTTGTAATGTCATACAACATGTTTCATCATGTTTGCCTTACTACACTCTTACATTTGAGGACCTAGTTGTGTTAAGTCTAATTTATATTTTTAATATTTTGTTATGGATGATTATTCCATATGTACTTGGTTGTTTTTAATGAGAAATCATTCTTAGTTATTTTATATATTTCAATCCTTTTTTAATGAAATTAAAAATCAATTTCACGTTTTTATTGGAACTTTGCAAAGTGATAATGGTCGTGAATACCTTTCCCATTTTTTTAAAACATTTTATGGCTTCTCATGGTATTCTCTATCAAACTTAATGTGTTTGTACACATCAACAAAATGGATGTGATACTGTTTGGTTCTGAAAGAAATTTCTTTATGGACTCTTGATGAAAATAAAAGAGTTCATTATGATGTTATAGCTAAATATATTATTTCTTTTGCTTTAACTTTTGATGATTTTCATAGAGTTTTAGTTTGCTCTTTAGCGAAAGAAGAATATTTTGGACGTAACTCATGAGGGGACCAAAGAAGTTAAGAGAGCAAGGATTTATTGATATAATAATCATCTTCTTGCTCTTAGAAAAATATTTAACATAAAGGAGCTAAACATCAAAATTCTAAACAGATCTTGACAACCAAATGTTACAATTATCTCATAATCAAGAGATCTTGTCATGATGAACATGACTACTCTTTTTTATAAGCTAAGGAAGCAGGGTTGGAGATTGGTAGATGGAAAGAAGAAGAATGAGGAGAAAAATTAATAGTAATTTTATATTCTCGAGGGATATTTCAAGGAGTAGTTTGCTTATCGTATTATAGTTACATATGTTTCTTGTAATTGGATAATTCAAATTTAAGTTAAAAATCTAGCTATAATTGCTTTATTTAATTAGATGTAGATAAAGAAGAATAGAACCAATATAAAAAAGATTAGTGTGTTTCTTTGATAATTTCATGTATCTTTTTGTGTTCTTAAAATTATTCATCATTCCACTATAAGTATTGAATATATAATGAAAAACTAGATATATAATTTTAGAAAATATAGAGAGTATTGTATTTATAATAACTAAAATATGAATTAAACCCAAAATCCAAATAATGATAGGCAAAGATGATAACTTAAAAACATACGATAAAAGATAAGACATCTAACACTCCCCTTCAAGTTGGTGCATATAAATCATGTGTATCAAACTTGTTACAAATATGATCAATTATTGGTTTTTAAAGACTTAATGAAACCATTTGTTAATTGATCACTTGAGTTAATGAACTTAGTCTTGATGTTTCCAAATAAAATTTTCTCTTAAATGAAATGACAATCAATCTCAATGTGTTTGGTACTATCATGAAAGACAAGATTAGAACTAATATGAAGAGCAACTTGATTGTCACATATAAGTTTCATTTGAGTTGACATATTCAAATTATAACTCTAGAACAATACTTAAACTAAACAAGTTCATAAGTGATTAAGGTCATAACTCTAAATTTTTTTGCATTAGACCTGCCATGAACACTTTGTTTCTTGCTTTCCAAGAAATAAAAATTCCACAATGGAGACACATTATCCAGAAGTAGATCTTCTATCAGAAGAAGATCATACTTAATCAACATCTAAATAACAACAACTCTTGTATAGTTCTTATAACCCTATAAGAAACCTTTTTCAAGAGATCCTTTAATGTACTTTAATACATGGATGATTGCATTCCAATGATCTTGACATGGGAAATTGATAAATAGGCTCATTACACTAATTGCAAAGAAAATGTCAAGACGAGTAACTATAAGATAATTCAATTTCCCAACTAATATTCTATACTGCTAAAGATTTGAAATAGGCTCTCCTTGATTTGGTATTAGGATCCATGGGTATGTCAACAAATTTTGAATTCATCAACCCAATTTCCTCTAAATATCTAGTGCATACTTCCTTTGAGATATAACAATACCAACGTTAGATTGTGCTACCTCAATACTTCCTTTGAGATATAACAATAGCAACATTGGATTGTGCTACCTCAATACCCAAGAAATATTT